ATAATAACATATGTTATTATAATAATAATTGTATATGTTGTAGCCGGTGTTTCTCACCTCGTCGGCTAGATTTTCCAGTTCCTTTTTATCGATATTCGCATTGCGTAGAAGCTGATCTAGACCTATCCACTCGCTAGCCAAACTCAACCGCAGGATCCTCGGGCCGAGACCCACGGACAGATATCCGCTGACGTCATCGCCGTCGTCGGCGGCGACGCTCTCCTTAGAGTCGCCCGACGTCGGCTCCCGCGATTTTCCCTGTTCGCTACCAGCGGACGACGTCGGCCGTTCGGCGCTCGTCGCTCTGCTGCGACCCGTATCCGGTTTCGACCGAGCGCCCTTCCTCGGCCGACCTGTCGGCGGCTTAGCGACGTCGCTGCGCTCCGGCACGGGCGACGTCTTCTCCATCAAGCCGGACGTCGCCGAGCCGCGGCCTGTCGTCGACGCGTGTCCGTCGGCTGTCGACTTCGCGTCGGCTCCGCTGAGCTCGCCGCTGGCACGAGCTTGTCCCTGTTTGTGCAACGTCGTCGTCTTGCCGACGTCGCTCTTCACGCTGTCCGCGGAATGCCTAATTGAATTATTAAAAAAACCGAATTAATTGAGAAAGTTTGTTATCTAACCATATATAGCAAAAAAATTTAGAGCCATTAAATGTAGAATGTCGCCTTATAATGTTTAGCATTGATAATTGCTTTCACTTGACACGCCACTGACATACAGTATCAAACCGTCATCCACACTGCGATCTATATATTTTTCATCATAATTTTAATCGATGAATACGGGCCATATAATGATGAGTAGGCATAGTGTGGAGAAACGCACAAGTTGTCATTGTTGATAACTCAATCGTGGTTGTTCAAGGTCGTGGTGGCTCACACCGACACAACATACTCGAGGTATAATAATTATGTAGATAGTATAGCAGCGAAGGAATGCTTTACAATATATTACGAAATAAATGGACAGAACTAGAAGCATGTAAAAACTAAACTCACACAATACAATAACAAACCACTAGTGCGCACTATCGAAAGCTCTTGTGGGGGTAAATTGAATATGCAGATGATGTGAAATATATGTTATAATAAATATATAAT